AAATAGGTTATATGGTTGTCAATGTCATAGTTCACATCAGTGCTTGCAGTTCCAGTGCGCTCCGGGTGCAGAAAAAAAGTAGAAATTTTTTTCTGCACAGAACTGTACTGTAATGCGGTAATTGCATCAAAAACGCATAGGAACGCACCAAAATGCACCAAAAACGCACAGGAACATACATGTGCTCTATTTAGATTGAAGAAAGAGAGAGGGGAAAAAATGAACTAGAATGCATAAAAAACGCACTGGAATGCGTAAAAAAATGCATCAAAAGCACCGCAATACCTCAAAAATGCGCATGCACAAATGCATCTGGAATGCATCCGGACTGCATTTCTATAGTGTGAAGTGGCCCTGAATGTAGATGCACACTGTGGGGCCCGTAGCACTTCTGTCTTTTTGTTTGTTCCTATTGTACATGTGATCCTGTGGGGTGGGGAACGCCCCAGTCACAGATGATTGTCCCAGTACAGGTGACAGCTTCCAGGACGGATCGCTCTTTTGGGTTTAGACTAGGATCCAATAACACCAGAACTCACCTCTATTGGAGTGTATGTAGGCAGGAAATGGCTGCAGGAGATCAGCAGAGTTCATGCAAAACAAATAGTAATAAAAAGGCTAAAACTGCATGTAAAGATGAACCCCGGGCATAAAACAAAACCTTTCATTGAAATGTACTCCTTAATAGCCAGAAAGGATATTAATCCACTTTGTGTGCACAGAATGCTTTTGCAAACCTAGATGTTACCTTGTAAAACTCACAGTGACATCATCACTGTGCTGTACATAGCCTGTGCAGAGGGGAGAGTTGGGAGGGAATCCAAGAGGCTCCACCCACTACATACTGCCTGCAAAAAAAACTACAGGAGGGGGCGGAGACAAGACCAGTCACTCTGCACAAGCAGGGAGAGCAGCAGTGAGCGTTCTGTATTACAGGAAGCTCCGGCACAGAGGGAAAGTCTCACACTGGATTACTGCCCAGATCTGAAAGAGATACACAACACACACCGAGATTCAAGGAAGATTACATATGATGAATGTATTTAACAGCTTATGGACCGCACACTGTACATCTACTGAAACGATACGGGACTGCTGCACTGGATCATGAACATGATCCGGTATTTCTGGTTAGGGGGCGTGCGCTCATGCGTTGCCCTGGCTGTCATTTGCTACAGCACAAGCCAATCAGTGGGTCCCAGCCAATCATTCTTGTTGGCTAAGCAAACAGAAGAGAGCTCTGTGTGGTAAACAACACAGTGTATAGACCCTTTTTTTTCCCTGTGTTAGTACAAATCAATTGCTCAGGCAGTACTACACGCAGTAAACATTGTTAGACCCACAAAGTGTCATGATCCCTGCCGGGTCTGTACAGTGCACTATCAACGGCAGTTCATCCGTTCCAAACATATGCAGTCGACTGATCACCGCGCCATTACTAGTATAGACAAAAAAAAATAAATAAATTTCAGTATATATATCACCATTTGTTGACGCTATAACTTTGATGTAAACCAATTAATATACACTTATTGAGGTATTTTGTTACCAAAGACATGTAGCAGAATACATTTATGAATAAATTTAATATTTAAATTTTTTCATTGGATATGTGTTATAGCAGAAGGTAAAAAAATATTGTTTTTTTTTTACATTTTGGGTCTTTTTTCATTTATATAAAAACAAAATAAAACCAGACATGATCAAATACTACCAAAAAAGAAAGCTCTATTTGTGTGAAAACATTATATACATTTTGTTTGCATACAGTGTTGCATGGCTGCGCAGTTGGCAGTTAAAGTAGTGCGATGCCGAATAGCAAGAAATTGCCTGGTCATGAAGGAGGTAAAATCTTCCAGAGCTTAAAGCGGAGTTCCACCTGAAAAAAAAAGTGGGCAGCTACAAATACTGTAGCTGCTGACTTTTAAAATACAGCCACTTACCTGTCCCTCGGTCCGGTGGTGTCCTCACCACTGCTGGTCTCACCAGCTGTCTTCTCTCCCTGGCGCTGGTATCTTTAGTGTGGGCACCTGGATATGACAGCTTGCGGTTTCACAGCCGGGTGCCCACTGCACATGTGCGAGAAGCGCTGCGCTTTGTGAATGGCCCTGTAGTCTTCTGGGACCTGTCATGTGTCCCAGAAGATTACGGGAAGGGAGTGGGGAGGACGACCTCTGCTTCCGATCGCCTAGGCGATTGCAGCAGAAGTGGGAGCAGGTACCTGTCACATTCGGGTACCCACTCCCCCCTGCTCCCCAAAGGTACCAATCCTTAATGGGGAGCGGGGGACAAAGGCTTAAAGCAGAACTTTCCCTTTTGGGTGGAGCTCCACTTTAAGAGGTTAAACAATATTTGCTCATCCTGGAGTTTAGCTTTAAATTAGAAATAAATCCTGTACATGATACATATGGCGTCTACAATCTATGGGGGGGGGGGGGGGGAATTTACTAAAACTGGAGAGTGCAAAATCTGGTGCAGCTGTGCACAGAAATCAATTAGCCTCCAGGTTTTTTACTCCGGTCACACCAAACCTGACTTTGAAACTTCACTGTAAGTCGCACGATTTCAAAGTCGGGTGACCTGCCGATTTCAGGTGCGATTTGCAAGACATCTGACACAGATCTATATGCAAATCGCACCAAAAGTAGTGCATGTATTACTGTAGAAATTGGTAGAAAATCAACAAAGTCAGAACTGCCGGATATGACCGCTCTAATTGCAGACAATAGGGTGCGACTTGGAATTCGTTTTACAAGTCACATGGCACACAAATCACATGGCAATTCACATCCAGCGTGACTGGGGACTTATTGCCAAAGCTTCACTGAACCATCTGAAGTTAGAAGCTGATTGGCTCCCATGCACAGCTGCACCAGATTCTGAGCGCTCCAGTTTTAGTAAATCCCCCCACATGCCATCCAATCGGGGGATACATTTATATTTATATTACAGCAATACAATTCTACATCCAGTGTTCCTTTACTAGTAATTTTCAGCAAATGTTTCCTCCTCTCTATATAATCTGCAGGTTTGATCGGTGTATCCTCTGTATTCTCCTTTCACTTTCACTTTATAACTTCTTATCAGCATGTTCAGCCAATCAGATCCTCCGGTCCTGATCTCCGAGTTCCTGACGCTGTAACTGTGTCATTCTGCAGAAGTCGGATCCCCCCAACAGATCACAGACAGGAGGATGAAGATGACCGTCCTCATCCTGCTTCTTCTGGGGTTGTCAGAAGGTCTTGGTGGTAAGTATGAGGAGCGGAGAGTTCTTCTCAATGTCGGGGTAGATGAAGGTTGGTAATAAAGGGCAGAGTACACATCTGTATGTGTCTATGGCAGCACACGGGCTAAATGGTTAGCACTTCCACCTGGCAGTACTAGGGTCATTGGTTCAAATCCCAACCACAGCACCACCTGCCTGGAGTTTGCATCTTTCTCCCTGTGTGGGTTTCCTCCGGATACTCCAGTTTCCTCCCACACTCCAAAGACATGCTGGTAGGTAATTGGCTCCTGTCTAAATTGTCCCTAGTATGTGTATGTATAAATGTGAGTTAGGGACCTTAGATTGTACGCCCCTTGGGGGTTAGGGACTGATGTGAATGTACAATATATATGGAAAGTGCTGTGTAAATTGATGGCGCTATATAAGTACCTGAAATAGATTAAAAGAATAAAATATAGACCTGGCCCAGCCTTCTACATATCTAACCCTCTGCAATAGATTGCTGCTCCAGACAGAAGGTGGTCCCAGCATCGGGGAGCCCACACACATGATAATTTCATTATATCATTAGTATGTAGGTTCTAAGCCCTGGTTCACACTGGATGCGATTTGCATGGCTTGCAAATCGCATGCCAAGTCACACCCTATTGTTCACAATTACAGAGGTCATATCCAAGAGGTTCTGACATGGTCAGAGCCGCACTGATTTCTACAGCAGTACCTGCACTACTTTTGGTGCGATTTGCATAGATATCTGTATCAGATGTCTTGCAAATCGCACCTGAAATCGGTGGGTCTCCCGACTTTGCAATCATTCAACTTCACTCTAAGCCACTTGATTTCAAAGTCGTGCTTGATGTGACCGGAAAATAATGCAGGCCATACATGGGTCGAATTCTGAGCGAATTGTATTTAGAAAATCAGAAATTTTGTTCGTTTTGTAATCCGATTGATTTCGAAATTCAATCAACCAAGCTTTCAATTTCTCATCATGTTGCTACAGAAAAGAATTTTCATGGCCAAGAATTTTCTTTTCTTTCCAGGTCACAGCTTTATTTTTCTCGCACAATTCTCCCTTAATTGATTTGAAATTTGTTCATATTTCAAAAAATTTCCAACATGCCTGATCACTCAGATTCGATGGTCACACGAAAATCATCCATTTCTGTGATCCACTGATCAAAAAATTCAAACGAAAATTCTTAGAAAAGATTTTCGAAAGAAAAATTCTTTCAGATTTCGACCCGTGGCTGGCTTAAAGGTCACCATACATGTTACAATCAGATTGCACAATCAATTTAAATGTACTAAAATGATGTAATGATAATGTATAACTAGAAATAAATAAATGATGTAATATGAGAACCTACCGAATCTATCCAACAATCTGGATCTGTTCAGGTATACGGCTGCACTATAAATGTTGGAAGATGTAAAGGATCTGGCACCGGGGTTGTCACCTCGTCCATTTAACCACCTTTTGCCCGCCGTATAAGGTAATGACGGGCGCCAGGTGGTTCTCTCATTCTGGGAGGACATCATAAGACGTCCTCCCACTCTAACCGCACGTGCACGGCTCCGGGAGCGCGCAGCATTGCGATCGGTGGTGCGCTGTTTCCCTCAGACACAGCAGATCACCGATCAACAGAACAGCCAAAGACGTTGGTTCGGTCATGTGATCAGCTGTGTCCAATCGCATGTAAATAGGGAAATGCCGAGCTGTCACGCTGACAGAGGAGAGGCGATCCGGTAATCTTCATTTCTCAGAGGGGACATGTACACTGATCATCAGGGCACTGATGATCAGTGTAGCCCCAGCAGTGCCACCTGTCAGTGTCCATCAATGCCAGCTGTCAGTGCCCATCAGTGCCTCATCAATGCCACATATCAGTGCCTACCAGTGCACATCAATGCCACATATCAGTGCCTATCTGATCTGCCTTTCAGTGCCCCCTATCAGTGCCAGTCAGTGCCACCTATCAATGCCATATATGAGTGCTGCCTTTCAGTGCCCATCAGTGATGCCTGTCAATGCCCATCAGTGCCACCTACCAGTGCCTCCTCATCAGTGCCACCTATCAGTGCCCATCACTGCAGCCTCATTAGCGCACATCAGTGAAGGAGAAAAATCACTTATGTACAACATTTTATAACAAAAACTAAGAAATTTTTTTTTTTTTTTTTCACGTTTCAGTTGTTTTTGGTTTGTTTAGGAAAAAACTAAAAAATCCAGAGGTGATTATATACTACCAAAAGAAAGCTCTATCTGCCTCAAAAAATTATAAAAATTTCATATGGGTACAGCGTTGCATGACCGTGCAATTGTCAAAGTGTGACAGCGCTGAAAGCTGAAAATTGACCTGGGCAGGAAGGGGGTATAAGTGCCCGGAAGGCAAGGGGTTAAACCCGAACACATATTACTGACACGGGTTCTGGGGCTGATTTATTGCAGATAAGGCACTGCGTGAGTTTATTGACAGCCGTATTCAGCCCCAGAACCCGTGTCAGTAATATGTGTTCGGGTGTAATGGGACGAGGTGACGCCCTAGGTCAGGGGTGGGCAAACTTTTTGACTTGAGGGCCGCAATGGGTTCATATATTGGACCCGGGGGCCGGACCAAGAGTAGATGAATGATGTGTATGTGTCATCCATAGTAAGTATAGTAATATTCCCCCATAGTAAGCATAGTAATTAATCCCCCATATAGTAATTCATCCCCATAGTAATTCATCCCCCATATAGTAATTCATCCCCCATATAGTAATTTGTCCCCCATAGTAATTCATCCCCCATATAGCAATTCATCCCCCATATAGCAATTCATCCCCCATATAGTAATTCATCCCCCATATAGTAATTCATCCCCACATAGTAATTCATCCCCCATATTAATTCATCCCCCATATTAATTCATCCCCCATATAGTAATTCATCCCCCATATAGTAATTCATTCCCCATATAGTAAGTCCCCCATATAGTAATTCATTCCCCATATAGTAAGTCCCCCATATAGTAATTCATTCCCCATATAGTAAGTCCCCCATATAGTAATTCATTCCCCATATAGTAAGTCCCCCATATAGTAATTCATTCCCCATATAGTAAGTCCCCCATATAGTAATTCATTCCCCATATAGTAAGTCCCCCCATATAGTAATTCATTCCCCATATAGTAAGTCCTCCATATAGTAATTCATTCCCCATATAGTAAGTCCCCCATATAGTAATTCATCCCCCATATAGTAAGTCCTCCATATAGTAATATCATTCCCCATATAGTAAGTCCCCCATATAGTAATTCATCCCCCATATAGTAAGTCCTCCATATAGTAATTCATTCCCCATATAGTAAGTCCCCCATATAGTAATTCATTCCCCATATAGTAAGTCCTCCATATAGTAATTCATTCCCCATATAGTAAGTCCCCCATATAGTAATTCATCCCCCATATAGTAAGTCCTCCATATAGTAATTCATTCCCCATATAGTAAGTCCCCCATATAGTAATTCATTCCCCATATAGTAAGTCCCCCATATAGTAATCATCCCCCATATAGTAAGTCCCCCATATAGTAATTCATTCCCCATATAGTAAGTCCCCCCTGTGTCACTTACCTTTGCTCCGCGCGTTCCTCTCGTATTCCCGCGCCGTTCTGGTCTTCAGGGAGGACTGAGAGAAGAGTTCGTCACGCTGCCCCGCCTACATCCTGGCTGCCCCGCCTACATCCTGACAGCTGCAGAGTCCTGACGCCCGAGAGGAGGGAGGGGCCGGCCATCCGAGAGGGGGGGCGGCCATCCGAGAGGAGGGGAGCGGGCGCCCGGCACACAGGAGACCCGCATCTAAGTTTGTAAAGAGCCGCGGCTTGCCGACCACTGGCCTTGCGGGAGCCTAGCTCCGCGGGCCGGATTAAAAGGTCCGCCGGGCCGTATACGGCCCGCGGGCCGTAGTTTGCCCATTGCTGCCCTAGGTGTTTAGTAGGATTACATTGTGTGATATGACCGATAGTCTCAATACATCTTTTACATCAAAGTCATATATAGAGAAGGAAATGTGTACACAGACCAGGGCCTGTCCTGGTGCATTCAGAGATGATGACGTATTAGACATCTGAGATTCTGGCCCTCAGCTTAACCCCTTGACCCCGACCGCACGCAAATCAGTGATCTCACAGAACTGGGCTTTTTTCTGTGGGGCTGCTAATTTGTGCACCATCTTTCTGCTGGGAGCGCGCCCCACGGTGCACTCCCAGCACAAAGACCGGGGTGTCACTGAGAGCCCCGGGTCCCGTTCTAACAATCTGAACTCCCAATTTCAGGTCACTTGATCGCTGTGATAGCTTCTGATTGGCTATCACAGTGATCAGTCACTGTGAAGCCCGCCCTCCCTTGTTTTCTCTGAATGGAGGAGAAGGATACATTGTATCTCTCTCTGTCCTTTCAGAGAGAAAAAAAAAAACGTGTATGTAATGCAGGCCATATATGGTTCAAATTCCAAACTATTTTTTTTCGTCCGAAAATCTGACACGTTGTTCGCTCGGTAATCCGATGGTGCCATCATTGATTTAAAAAATCGGCCGACAAAGTCATAAAGTTCACCTCATATAACATGCAAAACTTCTTTTCCTTCCAGATCACGGCTCATGCGCTTATTCTTTTCAGAAAAACGATCGTTCGATTTGACCATCATTGAGTCGAAAATCAGTCGTTTTTCACGAAATTTCCAACATGTCCGATCACCAAAAATTGGAGGAACCACGAAAATCAGCTGGTGCCATTGACCCACTAACAGAGCCAAAATCGGCCGATTATTAGGTCCGATTTTAGGACAAAAAATCGCTCGATTTTCAACTCATGTATGGCCTGCATTAATCCTCGTGCGCACTGGATGTTTTTACAGCGGCTGTTTTTGGCTTTTGTTTTTTAGCTGGAATAAAACCCCAGAACTAGTGGGTTTCTAGAAGAGTTTTTTAGTTGCAAAAACACTCTAATGCTGAAAAACACACCAAAATGCGGTAAAATGCAGAAAACCAGACTTTTTTAGAGCAAAAAAAATATTTTTTTTTTGGTTAAAAATACACTAAAAACGCAAACGCGTAAAAGCGCAGCAAAACGATAATGCAAAAAAATGCTAAAAAACGCTGAAAAAACTCACGTCTTTAACGTGACTTTACCGAGCTAACGCTATTAAAATGCTCCGTGTGCATGGAGCCTATTAAATAAATAAACAAATAAAAATCATAATAAAAAAATAAACAAAAATATCTAGATCAAGATCTGTGCCAGGGTTAGTGTTTGGGTCAAGGTCTTGGTCAAAGGTCAAAGTCAGGGTCAAAGGTCAGGGTTAAGGGTCAGGGTCAAGTTTTTTTTGTTTTGTTTTTTTGGTCAAGGTTTTTTTTTTTACATTTTTAAATTAGTGTCAGTTAGTAGTACGATAGAAAAAAAAGAAAAGCAAATTGCACATTATTGTTTCTGGGCCGTACTACGGGTACAAACAACAACTAACGTACACACATGTGGTATCACTGCAATCGTCAGAAGCTGGAGAAATTATTTTGGGTTGTTCTTTGGTGAGTTATGGTAGTAGCAAGAAATAGACAGCTAAATTTAAAAAATGTTTTCTAGTTTTCCTTTGGTAATAACAAAAAAATCAGGAGAAATCCATTACCATTTACCACCAAATGAAAGTCCAATTTGTCTTGAAAAAAAAAAAAATGCAGTATAATCCACCTGGATGCACAAAGTAGTTGTGATGATATGTACAGTTTTGCTATCACGTCGAAGTTGCAAAATTGTGCTTAGGCGTTAAGATTTGTTTTACTCTTAGGCACAAATGAGTTAAAGAAAAACTTTTTTTTTTGTTTTATAGCCACTTGAGGACCAAAAGATTTTGCCCCCATTCTAACTGGCGATTGCATGGTCAATGCTGTATGCAAACAACATTTATATATTTTCTTCACACAAATAGAGCTTTCTTTTGGTTGTATTTGATCACCACTGGGTTTTTAATTTTTTTGTAATATAAACAATAAAAAGACCCAAAAATTTGATAAAAATTAAAAAAACTGAATTTTTTTAACTTTCTGCTATAAAACATATCCAATGGGTTAAATATGTGTCTAACAATGTTTGCTGTGTGGTGTTTTGCTAAGCAATGTGCCATTTTTTTTACTCCCTGTTTAGCAGGTAGAAAAAAATGGCACATCGCTGCTGTATGAAGAGAGCTCTGTGTTGTTACACAGAGCTCACTTCTATCATTCAATGAGCAGATCATTGGCTGGGACCCACTGATCGGCTTGTGCTGCAGCCAATGACAGCACAGTCACGCATGTGTGAGCGGACCTGGAAGAAAGCCGCACCATACAGTTACGTGATTGACCTGTCACTGTAAATGTACTGCAGCAGGTTGGCAAGTGGATATAGAGTGTCGAGGGAATCTCTCAGATTTTTTTAATGTTTGTGCCCCCATTAGGGAGATTCACCATCTCTATTTGTCCGTTTGCCGATATCACTGAGAGCGAAAGTGAAAGAAAATCCCAAAGTTTGGGTTGTCTCCAGAACAGGAATAGAGGGGAAATTTTCCAACACAGGCACTAATTTTGGTGACAACCAGGGATTTCCTAACTTTGGTGGATTTCCTCTCATATCTATTTTTCTGTTTGGCTATGCGACAGGAAATTAAGAGAAATTTCCCCAATGGGACACAGATGGCAAAAAAGATACTGACAACAAAACACTTAAAAAAAAATACACACCTGAAAATCCCTCTGTTGAGGTGTGAATGCAGCCTAAATCTGTATTGTTTAGAAACATATATGGGAAGATTTACGGGTAACTGGAGCGCTCAAAATCTGGTGCAGCTCTGCATGGTAGCCAATCAGCTTCTAACTTCAGCTTGGACAATGAAGCTTTGACACTAACACCCGGTCACATTGGGTGCGACTTGGCATGTGATTCGCATGCCATGCGACTTATTAGAGCAATCATATCGGCGCTGTTCCAACTTGGTCGGAGCCGCACCGATTTCTAGAGTAGTGCATGCACTACTTTTGGGTGCGATTGGTGCTGTGTGTCAGATATCTTGCAAATCGCACCTGAAATCGGCAAGTCGTCCGACTTTCAAATCATGTGATTTCATTGTAAGTCACACGAT